AAGGGGCAATTGATTAAGAATTCCTTGTGGGATATGTTGGTGTTTAATCGTGTGAAAGCCAAACTTGGTGGAAGAGTAAGGGTGATTGTTACTGGTGGTGGTAAGTGTATAATTTAATGTCATCCATCATGAAATCGATATCTTTCAATCTTGACTACTCGTGAATGCTATCTCTAATCTTATCACGTTTATGAAGATCCTGTTTCACAATCAACACTTGATTTTCTACGTATAACCGTTGGATGTCAAGTGATTCAAGTGTACGGGTTGACTCAATGTAGTGGAGTGGTAACGATGAATGTTTTCTACGATTATCAATCAGATGGTGATCATTCACATTGTGGAGGACCATTACCATGTAATGAAATCAAGTTGGTGGATTGTTTGGAGAAAGGGTACTCGGTAGAGGATTTACCGAATCCTAGAGGAGAAGTGAGTAATTTTTTATTTTCAAGGCTAGAAGATATGTTGAGCTCATGAGATATTCGATCTTTTGCATATTATCTTGTTGATTAGATCTGTGTACGTGGTGCGAATGTGATGAAAGGTTACTATAAAAAACCAGAAGAAACGTCGCAGGTCATTGATGCGGATCGATGGCTACGAACCGGTGATATCGGAATGATACTACCAAACGGAACATTGAGGATTATTGATAGGAAGTCGGTATGTATATTTTCTCGTGCTTATTTATGGTTGCATCGATTTGGTGAATCCTAGTGTTGTTAACTCAAGCATTTTGTTTTTTGATCGAACGGTGATAAGCCATCCGTGAATACGTGAAGGGTGCAACGGTACAAAAACGTTACTTGTATATGAAATTTTGATTATATTTTTTGTTTATAACATTCATTTGCGAATAAGACTAATAAATAATATAAAAATGTTCGCTTTACGTTTATTGTATATGGATTTGGATTCCGCAGATCAATCTGCCAATTACCGGGTTGATGCTTATGTTTGGGCTTTTAATGCTGCATAAACTTATTTATATTGAAAGTAATATTTTTAAAAAAAATCGATTAATTCAATATCATCAAATACTATTTGTCGAAACGGTACGCTCATTGCCTATTATTTAAATTCCCAGTTGATCATCAATCGCCTTGTTGCTTTATTATTGTTTTTCTTTCGCCTGGTT